ATATAGAGTGTCCTCCATATCCCATCTCAGAATGATCATCTCCAAATTTTCCTGTGAACACAATCCTTAAACATGCTATAAGTTGAAACTCTTGATTCTTTTTCAGTTAGTACAAGTAATCAGAATTTCTTTTCCAACTCTAAATTATTTGCTGTATCATGGAGAAACACCGGCTTTTAAATTGGCCAGCATAATTGAATATGAAAATCTTGCAGTTATCAAGTTGCACACTTGCCAAACAGTGATACTCTCGTTTGTTTTAATGGTTTTTTTTTATTGCTACAGCTAACTGAATTCCTGATCCATTAAAACATTTTCCATAAGTATGACTATTTTTTGTTGATCAGTCTTCTTTCATATACATCCATCGTATTGATTATTACCCTTTTCTTGAAGCATTGTGTTTATGTTGCCTCCGATGGGGGTCGGGTTTGTCGCCCACTCGTTATTGCTGACAAAGGAATATCAAGGATTAAAGAACATCATATGAAAGAATTGCGGGTTTGTGTGTTTGCGGTTTCTTTATTACGTCCCTGTTTGTTTTCTTTGATGTTCTTTTAAGATCTTGCTTTTTGACGCTTGTTTCTAGGATGGAGTTCGTACCTTTGATGATTTTCTACGGGATGGATTGGTTGAATATCTTGATGTTAATGAAGAAAACAATGCCTTGGTTTGTTAATATGCTGCTAATTGTGTTTTTGGTTGCTAGAAATTGTTCATTTCATTCTTTGATATGCTTTTCTTAACAGATTGCACTATATGAGTGTGTAAATGATATGGATGACTCTGAGGATGACATCAAGAAAAGTTGCATAACACATATAGAGATTGAGCCATTGACACTTTTAGGGGTCTGTGCTGGTCTAATCCCTTTTCCCCATCACAACCAATCTCCACGCAATACATACCAGGTTTAACTCCTTTTTATAGTTAACTTCTTTGTGTTCTAAACACTTCCAATAACTTTTGGAAGAAAAATTCTGTTGTAGTGTGCAATGGGGAAGCAAGCTATGGGAAATATTGCTTATAATCAGGCAAGTGGTTTTTAGATGACTCTATGTTGAGAATTAATGTATTGCTTCATTTTCATCAAATTTTTCCTTATTTTCATAAAAATAGTAGTTTTTTAGTTGAGCCTTAAATATTTGTTACTTCTGAAGGAGTTTCTCATATCCAAGGTCTGCCATACCGAAGCGTACTGCCCGTATCGGGCAGTACGTACCGGTCCGCGGATCACCCGGTACCGCTATAGTGATACAGTATTTACTGTGGCACTGTAGCAGTGCTATAGTACTATACTGTAGCACTACTATAGTATGAAAAAAATATAAAATTGTTCGGTACACCAGGGTGTACCGCTCGGTACGCCCTGATGTACCGTCCGGTACACCGGTACCATACTGTACCGAGCCTGGGTCGAAACGCTGGTACGGTACGGTACAGCGAATCTTGCTCATATCTACTGGATTTTTTGGTACATTGAAGTCTAGTATTAGTAAAATGATATAATGATAATCTGATTTGCAACTTTTAGCATTCTTCATAATTATTGTTGTATGCCTTGTTCAAACTAACATTTTTGAATATTTGAATAACATGTTTTTCTAGGTAATTTAAATTGACAAATGAAAGCCAAGGGCCCAACAAATCTGCTAAAAACTCGAAAAATCACTAAATCAAATCTTCAGAGATCATACCTTTTCCTAATGCTAAATGACAAGGCTAAGATTTTGCACCCCTTAGTGCCTCATGATTTTGTGTCTGATTTGCATTAATTATTCCAGTATCTTTTATCCTTATAGTGAGGATACTGAATCTTTCACTTAAATTCTGGCAGCTTTGTCGAGCGGACACTTTACTTTATTTGTTAGTGTATCCTCAACGCCCGTTGCTGACGACAAAAACAATTGAGCTGGTCTGTATTTTCACTTCTGTTATGTGTATAATGCTTTTATGGCATCTCCCTAACATTAATTGTACCAGATTGGGTATGATAAACTTGGGGCTGGGCAGAATGCAACTGTTGCTGTTATGAGTTACAGTGGCTATGATATTGAGGATGCAATTGTCATGAACAAGTCATCTCTTGATCGTGGTTTTGGCCGTTGTATAGCAATGAAAAAGTACTTGAGTGTATCCCTGAACACACTTCATGTATTCCTAAACATGTGTCTTTTCCTCTATACATAAAATTGCCATAACCTTTATTAATTTTCTAATTTTGGTTTTAGGTATTCTGTTCTCAAAGAGATCTATGGTAATGGTACATCTGATAGAATAGTCAGGCCAAGAAAGGATAAAGATAACCAAAGAATGCAGGTATCTTTGTCAATGCATTATTCTGTTGGATGTCTTGCAATTATGATTTTATATTCTTCGTCTCTTAATCCCTCTGGTAACCATGCTGTAAGAGTAATAAGATGTTGCGTTCTCTATATTTCTGATTCTTTGGTTTGCATGCTAGGTTGAGCATCAGCCTGTTTAAATTGAATATTTATATTCATAATGGCATATCTTGTAAGATGATTCGATTTTTTTTTTCTCATAAGAATTGACATGCTTGTTCAATGACTTTTAAGATGGGTATTTCTGGTATGGCCAATCATAAGTGGCGAAGGCACCAACTCCCTTTCAGTGATTGTATAAACCTTCAGTGCTGTCAACAAATAAAAACTAAGATGGAACAAGGAAAACTAAGAGCGACGTCACCTATGATTTTGCTAAGAAATAGACAGGTCAACAAAGAAAAACTAAGAGGGAAGTCAGCTATGAGTTTGCTAAGAACTCATAATAGACAGGTCAACAAAGAAAAACTAAAGAGGGAAGTCAGCTATGATTTTGCTAAGAACCAAGGTTTTAAATCTCGTACAGTACCAGTGTACTGAGATTTGCTCGGTACGGTACGTCTAAAATAAGTATAAATCCTTCCAAAAATACCTGAAAAATAGAAAAAAAAAAGAGTTGCATGTTTTGGCTGAAAATGATATTTAAATTTATAAAAAATGGAGTCATTAGAAAAGAGTTAACTAATGACTCAACATGAAAAGCTGAAATCTATGGTTCATCCTACCATACACTGATTTTTTCTTAACATTATCTTAGAACAATTCCTGCATGTTTTAGCTGAAAATGATATTTAAATTTATAAATCTGAAGTATTGGACAATGACTTGCATCATATTATCTTCCTGAAATCATTGTTAAGACAATTTCATGTACTGTTTCTAGAATTTCAGCAGCTTTATGCTTTCATTTCAATTTAATGAGTTGCAGTAATCCTCTTTGAGATTCCATCAACACTTGTTCTATGTCAAGTTGCTACCAAAAATTCCTGGTTTAACAAGAAATTCTAACAATCAACATCAAAAACTGAAATCTATGGTATCGCCTGCTACAGGTTGGTAACGATCGAAATTTTGATTGTTACTGCCTGGTACAACCCCATATCGCCCGATACAGGACCAAAAATCTGATACCACTCGGTAGCGGGCATTCCGTGTGTTGGTCTGCTGGTGGACCGATACGTACTGCCCGGTAAGTACGAAATTAAAAACCCTGCTAAGAACCACCATCTTTTTTTCTGGGTAAGGAGGTGGCTTCTCTCAAATGTGCCCACGCTGACTGGCCTCTGTCGTAGCATTGCTACATTGTGTGTCAACCTTTGACCCACCCAGACCTTATATGCTGGCTTGGAAACTGGCACGTGAATAACCACCTGTTTGTTTGGTGCATTCTTAAATACCTTCTAGCATTTTTACCAACAACCACAAGTTGAATGAAAGTGGGGTCAAAAGGAAGAAGGTAGCTTGTATTTCTTAGAGCTACTGTAGATAATACATGACAATGTCTATTACCCTTTTCTGTTTAGTCTGATTTACCAACTTTATAATGGAGAAACAATAGTGTTAATTAGTGATTGAAGATATTCATGTATATATTAAAATGTAACTTCATTTATGTAGCAAGCTTATTTGTGTGTTGTTAAAGGAAGGTCTAAATACTGATATCGGTACTTATATCAGAATCTTATCGGGCCATTTTGTACCAACTACTATGATATCAAATTCTTTGGTACACCAATAACACATAACACTTGAAAAAATTTGATACATTGAAGACTTGCTTGATGGTGATACATAGATGGACTTTTGATGGCGTGTCCTATCAATAGAATTCATTGTAATGAATACTTTGGTAAGTTCTGCTGAAACTTTAGACTCATTCTGGAAGGAACTCATTTAGGTTCCTGAAATATGGAAACAACACTTTGGTTTAATGTCATAAATGAATCTTTGCCCATTTTCTAATCCCATTCTCGCTGGCTTGAAGCCATTTGTGACAAGAAGGTCCAAGACTACATTGAGATTTGGTACTTGGCTTGCTATTTGGTCTCAGATTGTCTTCTTCTTCGTAAATAATGATGAGAACCTCATTTTTGGGATTCTTCTTTCTCAGACAGTTTTGGTTACTTGAACTTTATTTTAAAATCTTATCCTTTAGTAATGATTTTTCTATATTTTGTGAAAACTTGGTAACACAGATTCAATCCAGTACTTATGTTTGAACTTCTATCTCTGTTCATGGTTGCTAAAAGTATTGTAGTGTTTTACTATCTTACATGCTTAAAATAATGCATGTAAGTCATCTACATCATTCCAATTCAAGACTAATTTGAATTGAGTTGTGGACAGATACTCGATGGTGATGGAATTGCTGCCCCTGGGGAGATAATTCGGAACAATGATATTTATGTGAATAAAGAAACTCCCATAAATACAAGGGATAAGACTGGTGGCCCGATGGGTTTGAAAGATGAGTAAGTCTTATCTTCTTTTGAAGTTTTCGACCCATGCAAAAGTGATGCTAATGTTGTATTCTTGTGAAATTCCAGAGACTACAAAAGGACACCTGCTGTGTACAAAGGTCCTGAAGGTGAGACTACCGTGATTGACCGAGTGATACTTTGCTCGGATACAAATGACAAGTTATGTATCAAATTTATCATTCGTCATACTCGTAGGCCAGAGGTGAGTATATGTAAACAAATTCCTTGTGCTTTGGTCAAGGTTGCAAATCTGGGTCACACTTCCAATTCCTGGATGATGACCCTCTTAGACACTTAGGAAGGATATCAAAGAAGATAGGTGGAGACCTAGAATATAATGTATCAATTCAACCAAACATTGTATATGATAACTGGTACAGTTGAACTCTTGTTAGATTAGGATCATTAGGTTTTTCACATTAGTTATGATAAGTCTTTCAACACTGAGTAATGGAATTTTGAATATCAAAGATGAGCAGTTCAGAAACATGATATGACTATTACTTTGTTATAAAAGAGGCACTAATTTATATTTAAATTATTTAAACTCTAAACAACAGTTGGCAGAGGCTATAAATAATGCCAGGAATAGAATATATTCACAAAGACAGCTGATTATATTTTAATGTTCAATTGGTTGTACAATACTGATATATTGCTACAGAAGTGTTCTTTCAAAACCAATCATCTTCTATATTAGCAATAATTCTTGTAACTATCAACCATCTTTATTAAAAAAGTTGGTCCCTTTTGTGTAAAGTTGGCCTTTTCCTTGTAGACCATTGTTTAGGCTGTCATTTAGCACTAGGTAGCCACTCGGCTTCAAACATCCCATGAGTATCCACGCTTTCTGAGGGTAGTGGGTCGGGACAGCTGTTTGTGACTACATTGATCCTGATATACTAACATATGCTGTTAATCCTGTCCATTTGATTTTGTTGATCACGTAGGTAGGTGACAAATTTAGTAGCAGACATGGTCAAAAAGGGGTTTGTGGTACCATAGTTCAACAGGAAGATTTTCCTTTTTCTGAGCGTGGGATATGTCCTGATCTTATCATGAATCCACATGGATTTCCCAGGTATGATATCTGCTTCATGGCTTTTGCTCAAGTTCTGCTCATCATATGACTGGATTGTATGTTCCTGTTGTCATCATCAACAGGTTCTGTTTTCCTTTTATTATTTTGTTGAAAGATTAGATATTGAATTATGCGCTGGTTTAGTTTGAATGATTTATCTTTGCCTTTCTACCTGTTAAATAATTCGCCATAGATTTCACTGAAATCATGTATCCTTGTTCTTACACGATTTCTCTATACAACTATTGATCCATTAATTAATTACCATTAGATTGACTGATACATAAGTGCTTCCTTGTCCTCTGTAACAAGTAACAACAATGATGAGATTTTGTTTCTGCTTATTAGGCTACAACTACATGCATGTATGCATGGCTTTAAGTGAAATATACACCCAAATATGGTTTGTAAGTGATGAGCACTGCTCCTAGGTGAAGCTTAGGCAACTTAGAGTTCAACTTATGAAGGGGAACTTAGCAACAATACGTGTCTTCTTTTGATGCATTTGAGCAATCTCAAATCTGAGCAACAAAGTTCGGTGTTCCTTAGGGTAGCTCATATTTTGAGTTTGTATTGATTCATTGTCTGACGTCTATCTCTGCTGCAATCTCCCTCTCTTTCCTTGTCTTTGTTCTATAATGCAAGACATTTGATTGGACCAAATATTTGGATATCAATTTGATTGGATGTGGATCAGCTCTAAGCTGATCTTGTCAGGTAGTCTGTTCTTATTGGATCAAATCAAGGTGAAATGTTGTATGATCCATTTAGTTTATCTAATAATGCGTTAAAAAATAGGCTGATCTCCTAACCATTGTATGTGCAATAACATGAAAGAATGCAACTAAGCAAAGCTCTAGAGATGGTTCTGGAGAAGTAGGAAAAAAGTGAGACTACTATTGAGTTGATTGCTTGTCAAGATTTTTTTATTTCGTAGAAAAAAGGAACAAGATGGAAAATGAGATTAACATTTATATCGTGGATATTCGACATGAAAACATGTCTAGATATGTAGAGAGTTCTAATTATTTTTGGGAAAATCCTTGAATAGTTGAATGTGAGAACATGAACACCATTCATTCGTGAAGCCCTTACTCCATATCGCGGATAACTAAGTTTTGATGATTTAGATCTTTCAAGATCATTGAAATTATTGACTATATATTTTCTGAAAAGTCCTACTACGTGATACTGGTATAAGACCCCAAATTAGTCCAACATTGAAAGTGGACTAACACTTAGATTGACTTATAAGAGGCTAATGGGTAGGCTTAAGCATTTTAGGTCAATGGTATAGGCTTAATTAGGCATTCTGGGTTAGTTATTCAATCAAATCGGGTCATGACAATTGGTATGAGAGCCGAGTTAGTATTGAAACATGTGAGAGGCTCGAGTCTCGTGAACAAGATCAAAGGGTAAGTCACGATGTGGAATTACTATTGGGCTATGCCTCACATGCACAATGTTAGGTTCAATTCTGCACTATACTAGGTCTTGACAAGGACATCAAGGGAGATTGTAACACTCCAATTTAGTCTCACAAGACTGGACTAACACTTAGATCTTGACGAGGATGACAAGGCTAACACTCCAATTTAGTCTCACAAGACTGGACTAACACTTAAATTGACTTATACTAGTGCCAGCTTGAGCTTAAGCATTCCAGATTAGTAGTTCAGATTCAACAGGTTAACATGTGAGTTATCCAATTAGACCAGGTCATGACAATGGATGCCACCTTTAGCATAAATCTTTTGTGCAAAGTCATCGAGATGAAGTCATTGTTGATATCCAGTTGAAAAATTGGTCCTATTTTAATGGCTGGTGCAATGATCAACTTAAAGTAGGAGAAAGTTTCAAGTAGAGAAACATTCATGTTTGTGCAAATTTTAACAGTTTCACTTTCAGGCTTTCTTCATGTCAGAAGGAATATGTTCCATAATAAACACCCGTCTATCAAAAAGCCTGCATTTTTGTAGTTCTCAACTGGCTTCCAGTTTTAATCAAGTCAAGGTTACCCATTTATGTTTCATAGCATTTATCTGTCCATTGTCAATCAACGCACTGTAGGAGCATAGAAATAGAACTAGAGGCAAAAATTATGACAATTGTAGGTAGCCAAATGTTTGCTGGAAGCAAGAAAATCGAGGATGGAGATCGAGTAGAAGTGCGTGTTTTCTAAAAAAGAATTGTTTTGAACAATTAGAGGCTTGTACATCCTAATGCAACAGGGAATTGGCATGGCTGCCACCATCACCAATTTCAATGGTAGCCTTCATCCACTGATCAATCATGCTGACCAATGACCTAATGGAAGAGTCGTCTGGTGGCCATTTACATGGCAGTGATCCGACAACTGATGTAGCAGGATCTTTTTATTGTGGAACACATTCCTGACTGGTTGGGCTTCGAGCAAGATAGACCTCAAGTGATACCAACTACCAAGTACTGCACATAAGATGGATCCATACAAAATACACATTGAGCATATATGCAGAGTCAAATAGGTGGATGATAGATAAAAAGGGGAATCTAGTGCCCTTGCCGGGTCTAGGGAGTATAAATATACATTAAGGAGGTTTTTCCCATACTGGCCTCTTGATACCATAGTCACAGAAGTGCTACTTTACCACAGATAATCAGTAGTGGGCTTATTGAGCTGTTGATTGGTTTAGGTGATTGTGCAGCACAATAAAGTGGATATGAAATCATCCAAAGGAGAAGAAGACACCTAAAGGAAGTTATTTTTACAATGGTGTCACATTTCACTGTATAATCTCACACTAAGTTGCAGACCCATTAAGGGCCCATACACAGAAAATGGGCCTTAAAGAAGGTTTCTAATTCTCATTGAGGGCTAATTGGTCTTAAAAAATGATTACAGACTGATCTATTCATGGACCATTTTTTGTTTGAAACTGGTCCAAAAATGAGTTGAGCAGGAGGGAAGAAGAATAAGAATAAAGAAAGAAGAGGTGAAATGGACCTTGGCTTCGTCCTTCATTCAGAAGGTATATTTCCTTCCAACTCTGCCTCATTTTTCCCAGGATTTTGGTTGTCTTCTTTTCTTTTTCTTAACTAACCAGTATATCATCAGCTACCGTACCAGTCTTACAAGGGACCAGTACAGGTACTGACTGGTCTTGAAATTTTAAACCTTGGGTTTTACTGATTCTCCACATGATTATGTTGTGCTGCTCTTTGTCCATCAATTGATTTTGAACATTTTTAGGTACTGTTATAGTGTTATTCTTGCACATAAAGACTCGACATGCATCATAATAGAGGTGAAGCTAGATCGATGTTAGGGGAAAAAAGGGTCAAAGAATTCTAAATGATAGTAAAACTGATCTCTTTTTTTTCTTTTTGGTTTTGCACATCATGTCATCCTTCCGGTGGTTGAAATTGCATCCACAACTTGTAGATGCCTATGCATCCTGCCTGCTTGCACCTGCAGGGACCAAGGGGTGGCATGGCTGCAGTTTATATTTCATGCTTGGATGAGGCCTGCAACATAACCAGCAAGCAGCCATGTTATAGAGAGAGACATGTGCTTGGCTCATGTGATAACAATACCAATTCTTGATTTCCTGAATTTTATATTTAGTTGGTCACAGGTTTAAGGTTGACATATTGAAATCTTAGATTATGAAATATAGATTTTGTACTATGTTTGGAGAGCATATATTGACATCATTTGTTTGCACAAATAAGTGACTAGTGCTTGAATTATGTATATTTACCATACAAATGTGCCATCTGATCAATTAGATTGTTCAGCCTACAATAATTTGTTGCTGTAATTGTCTTCCATGCATATTCATTCTTTAATATGTGCTGGAGATATTTGGGTTCTTTCCAACTGTGATTACCTTATTATTGCTTCAAGTTTTACACAGCATTCAGACTATTATCATGTTATTTACAAGAAGAATCACTAACATCCATTGCAATAAATAGTCGAATGACAATAGGCAAAATGATTGAGCTTCTTGGTGGAAAAGCTGGAGTATCTTGTGGTCGATTTCATTATGGTAGTGCTTTTGGGGAACCAAGTGGCAATGCTGATAAGGTTGAAGACATAAGGTATGCTACATTTTAAACTATCAATAGGTTTCTGGCTGTGGTATCTGCTTATACTTATGCAACAAATCCAGTTATACACTTGTAAAGCATGGATTTAGCTACAGTGGAAAGGATTTTATCTATTCAGGTACGCAAGTGAGCTCAATCTCTTTACAAGAAAATATATACAACAACAATTGAAGGTCTTGCATATGCTTTATGAGAAATTGGCATATATAAAATTCTAATGAACACCACTCTAGAAGAAAACAAATCAAATCTGAACGTAAGCCACAAATTTTATTCTGTACATGAATTTATTTTATAATTCTAGAACTGCTTTTTCTTATCAAATGATTGTGCAATTTTTTGTACCTTTTTTCTCTCATATGATGCATAGATATTATTGAATTGGATATCTAACTTAATTAATGAACACAACTCTAGAAGAAAACAATATCTGAAAGTAAACCACAAATTTTATTCTGCACATGAATTTATTTTATAATTCTAGAACTGCTTTTTTATCAAATGATTTTGCAATTTTCTGTACTTTATACACTTGTATATGTTAATCATCAGAATATCTTCAAAGATCAGTTTTTTGGTCATTATCTACTTGTATGATAAACTAAAAGATGGTTACTAACTTACATCTCATGACAATAATCAGGACCAAGACCTTCACATTTTTTAACAACTTACGTTGTTGTGCATGTAAGATTTGACATGATTGTTTGATCTCACAGGCATTACAGGTTATCCTCTGCAAGCATATATATTCATGGGGCCAATCTACTATCAGAAGTTGAAACACATGGTAAGAGGATCAATATATTCTAGTAATCTTGTGTCTAGGGCATGAAAACTGCTTTAACAAAATTAAATTGTAAGAACATGAATTTTGTTGGTTTATAATGTTTATTGCTTTTATGCCATCTTGTCAATTATTTATAACAAAATGGTATGCCCAAAATTTAAGTATTTATTATGCTTCTTGTTAATCTAAGGTTTAAAGAATCATCTTTTGAATCAGTCTGATGATTTTCTAGTAGAAGAAATTTTGATTATAAACATAAACTAAACACCTAAGGATGTACCATGAAGTGGACTTAAGCTAAGAAGCACAGGCATGGCCACGGCGACGCATCATTTTTAAAAACATTAGGATATGGACATGGCGAGGACATGTGTATTTTTTAATATATATATATATATATATAATATTTGATTAATATGAATTTTATAATATTTATAATTTTATTTTAGTATTGGTAGTTTTTTAATAAGTTCGTAGCACATATCCACATAAGTTACTTTACTTTTGTTATACATGACTTATTACTAATAAGAGGCAGTAACAAAATTTACCATCAATATTATTATTAATATAGTTATGTTACATTATAATTTAGGGAATATAAAAGGTGATCATTTCCTAAAAAAACACTAAAAAGAAACAGAAAGTAGGCTTTCTGTGACCAAGGTTGCAGGTTTGCTGTTTGCACACAAGTGGGGTGCGAGGCCACGGGTTACAAGCGATGGATCAGTGAGAGGGATGATGAGGGAAGCCCACGTGCCTTGTTGCCCGTGATAGGCAATGGATCAGCGAGAGGTATGCTGAGGGAAACCATGAGCAAGGCTGTCCGTGACAGGTCTCAGTGGGCATGGCCCCGTGGGTTATGCGACTACCAAACTACCTAATTTTTCTTTAATTTCTAAATTTATATCTTTGTAAACATACATACCTTTAGAAACTTCAGAAATTCTATGTAGGCAATTTATTCTGTTTTAAGAAAATGTATTTTGGTGATCTTTTTGGTATTTCAGGTCCTTGATAAGATGCATGCTCGAGCTTCAGGGCCCCGTGTGATGCTAACTAGACAACCCACTGAAGGAAGAAGTCGTGATGGAGGTTGTGTAAAGATTGACACTGAATTTTAACCTTAAGAATTTTTGTTTGTGTTGGTTTCATGGTTCGGGCTCAATATATATATTTTTATAAATTCACTTGTTTCTATATGCAGGATTACGTTTAGGAGAAATGGAACGTGATTGTTTGATAGCATATGGTGCTAGCATGTTGATTTTTGAACGTCTAATGTTATCTAGTGACCCTTACCAAGTTCAGGTACTTACAGAAGCTATTCCTATGTTTTCTTGTGGCTATTATCTTAATCATACTAAACATGGATCTTAGTGGCCTAAACATGTGCAGCTCACATTTGTATTCTATTGTATTACTGTTTGAGGAATGTTCGTTGAGATGAAACAAGCACCTGGTTGTAGACTGGTCAATGAATTTAATGCTGAAAATCCACAGAAAATGATCTGCCCAAGGAGTAATTTAGTTTTATGTGATTTTATCCCTTTCAATCAACTAGGACAGCAACCAAATGGAGAAGGGGGATTAACCTGTGTTTTTTTTTTTTTTTTTTGCTAATCAGGTTTAGTCAATGTTTAACTGACACTATTAATGATTCACATGTGTGATCCTGGCTGAAGCCACCATGCAACCTCTTTTTAGTGATGATAGCAGACACTAGCTATCTGGTGTTTTACATGCAATTTCATACCTATTTTCATAATGGCCTTCCAGGTATGCAGGAAGTGTGGTCTCTTGGGGTATTATAACTACAAGCTGAAGACAGCCTTTTGTTCCATGTGCAAAAATGGAGAGAATATATCCACAATGAAACTTCCATATGCTTGCAAGCTGCTATTTCAGGTAACGAGGGATTATATTCTTCTTGTGCCGTGTGCAATCATTTGGCTGCTTTCTACATCTATCAATATTTTAGGTGAATTATGTTTCTGTTCCTCTCTTTCCTTGCCATCAGGAGTTGCAGTCGATGAATGTCGTGCCACGTTTGAAATTAGTCGAAGCATGATTGCTTGATGGATGGATGGATTTAGAAGGCAGATAAAAACATCAGGCATGTAGCAAGAAAGAGGAGAAAGCATGCCCCAAGCAGGGACCTTAAAATCGAATGCGAGGTCCACTCAACTTACCGTGGATAGGATTTTACTGCTTTTCCAGGAGGATATCAAAATGGATTTTACTCATCTTAAATGTTTTTACATGTCATTGTAATTAATTAGACTGCCTACGATAGCTTTTTCCCAAATAGAGAGAACTGCACTTGGATAAAGCATGAGACTATATATTGTGTGGTGTTTCTCAAAGTGAGAAAATACTAGTATAACCTGATAGGCGATGGTGTAACCTCGACTACCTGATAGACTATAAGCTGATATGCAGACACGAAGAAAAGGCACTCTGGTGTAACCTCGACAATCATCCTAAACAGCACTAAGCACAACACCATATCTAAACTTTGCCCCGGCCAACTTTATTGCTCAGTTGGTATTGGTTTTAATAGAGAGGTAGGGTTCTTGTCGCAGAAAGACTTGATGGCGGCAGGGAACAAGGGGTTGAAGGTGGGGCGGCATTGGCGAAGATGGGGTGAAGCAGCCATCTTCGATCTTGTCGATGACCTTGCAGCACTAGGGCCCGAGCTGGGCGTGGAAGTTTAAGTAGGAGGTCAACAGCTCCCGGTTGCAGTACCGGATGCGGAGCTCCAAGTACCAGCACTGGGCTATCTTTGCCTGGGTCGATGCCCAGGCAATTCGTAAGAGGTTTTTCATCGAGTCTATCGATATTGTAGGCATAATATTATTTGTATTTTGTATGACGATAGAGAATGATATTATTTGCTTTGATGCAGATGTGTTCTACTTCTCAGTGGTAGTAAGCATTCACGTAGCGACAGTGGTGCCGGACTTCTCCCTGCTCTCCCGTGAGCACATTGATGCTCCCCATCTTCACAATGGAGCTCCTGTAATGGCGGAAGAACAGCTCTTGATCACGCGCATACGCCCACACCAAGCTCGCCACACCATCGTCTTCGTACCCGGCGATGAGCTCGTCGTCGCTCAGCAGCAGCGCGTTCCCCCGCACCAGGTTGTGGAAATACCGGTTGTCGAATCGCCTCGGGGTCTTCAGGTCGAGAGGGACGAGCGTGTCGTCTCCTCCTGATGGTGGGCATGCCGACCGCAAGCTGCTGAAGAACTCAGAGTACCTGTGGTAGAGATCGTGTTCTTCGAATGGCTCTATCGGATCTTGGCCGTACAGCCTGCCTTTGAAGCTTACACACCTCGATCTTCCAATCGTGTGACTGCCTACAGGAATCAGAGTTCGATCCACTAGTTGAGCTCAGAAGATAGGCAAGCGCAAGATGCACGGAACGGCTACCTGAGAGGCTGACCAAGTCTACTATGTCCAGGCCCTGATCATGGAAGTTGGAGATGAGCATGTCGAGTGTGAAGTTGGGCGCAGGTATTCTTTTGTTGGCTTCGCTCAAGCTTGCTGTGAGAGAATCCTTCCTCCCCGAATACACCTCCCAAGTCGGACCACCTCGCTACAGAATTCAATGGATGAACAGTTCAATCTCAGCAGTCTCTGCAATCCTAATTTGTGACCGAAGAGCTTACCAAATGGACTGCATCTCTGGCAACAATGGCGAGGATATCAGCGCACGACACTGTTAGCGGGCAGGCCTCCTCCAACACGGCCTTTATCGAGTCTATCACCTCGAATCCTCGGAGGGAATTCAGGTTCGGCACAGCATTCTTCTCGCTGACTATGCCATCGGCATCGTCCAGTAGCACCGATGCATCGCATCCCTGCAACACCAACAGAGCTTTCAGTTGCTGCAGCAGCAGGAAGAGGCTACGGATTGGATGCATGGGGAGTGAGACCAGAACGAAGCAGTCGTGGAAGTGAAGGCGGAGCAGCGACGCGGCCAATCTCGGATCTCGATACACCACCGTTTCCACGTTCTGCCTTATGATGTGCTCCGCAAGGGGGCAGGTCTCCTTGTAGTAATGTGGGGAGAGTCCTCCGTCTGCTTCCACACCAACCAAAACCAGCAGCAGGCCGAGGACGAACGACTTCGCCATTTTCTGATGGGCTTCTCTTTCCTGGAGACAGGGCTTATTATCTCCTTCATTGATATATCTGCAAGCAGGGTCACCATTCTCTTCTTCTGAGGATGATGATGATGATGGCATGGCAAGCGTTCGAAGGTGCTTTCCACAACCACCCACAGCAAGTTAGACAACAGAGGATACACCTACCCGACCAACTTCCCATTGTCGAGAGCAGAACACAAGTTTAGTAGCGCTCAAAGTCTCATTCGACCTCATGGGAGAAAGAGACAACGGAACAGAGGCTTTGCACACTTTCTCATGTTTTCATCCATCTAACCAATCATGATCTGCAAATGCTTGCTGACAATACCAAGAAACCAGGAAATAAATCGGGATGTGTAGATTAGACATTATAGATTATAAATAAAACAAAACAATAGCTTAAAGAGAGAGAGAGAGAGAGGGGGTTCAAGCAGGAAAAGAAACTTGGTACGATAACAGTATTTTCCTTGGAAGCTTACTATTTATATCTTTTGAATTATTATGACAATACTGATCATATATATATATATATATA